CCTAATCCCGTCCCTCCTTTTCTGCCTCATATTCCTAAAATCTAACCCAAAAGCGCCTTCTCTGCAAGATGTCACGATGAAGAAATGTCCCCGCAGTGAGTGGAGACCCCGGACATGTGTTGAAGGTCAAGTAAGTTTCGAATGTGGACCTTAATTTGACTTTGTTCAGATAAAAGATTAAATATGACCCACCCCTCCCCCCTTCACCGCTTTCAAAGTGCCTGTCGCACATGGCGTCACCGCGACCCAAAAGAGGTGCACTCCAGGTGTGCGTACTAGTCGAGTCAGTGAGGAGGGCTAAAGTTTACTTTTAACTAAGATGATTCCAAGGCGAAGGGCTCGAACTCAGATAGATAGCCGCTGGATCAGACATTAATTAAGAGGGGAAAAAAATCCGAAATGAAATATTAAAACAAGAAAATTATCGTTGTGTGTAACCCTTACTTCTTAGAGCACAGAAGGCTTCCCTTTCTCTTGTACACAAACAATTTTCGTCTTCTAAGTTTTCAGCTCCTTGAACTTCCTTATATCTCCGCCCATATTTTGCCTATTTGCATTAAAAAAAACCCAAATGAATGCAATCAGTACGTTCGTGTTTTAGCGCCTATAAATAGCAGCTAGCTCTATGTGCTCCCCAGGAAGTTGAGGCTGTTTCAGAATGCTTTCAGATCTGCTGCTGGAGCCATAATATAAACTGTAAAGCAGGAATGTGCGCTACACAAAGGCTATCTGTTTATTTTTATGGTTCAACCATAAACGTACTGTTTTATAATAGATAAGATGGATTTGCTGTAGTTATATTTTGTTGCGACTGTAAATTGTACATGTAAATGATTTAATTAATGTGTTATGCCCTTAGTCAGCTGACTTGGTGCAGCGTACGCAAAGAGTTTTAAAAAAAAGGCCTGTGTGTTTGTACTTTGCTGTGTGTCATGGATGTTCGTATTATGCTACACGTTTCTTTTGTGCTAAGTCATGGTGAGATAACAATGTATTTGTTTTGCCCGTAGCTTTCTGCGCTTCTTGAGTGCTGCAGCCTTTAGATCTAAGCCTTGAGTTATGTAAAATGAGCGACATGAATCTCTCTCTCTCTCTCTCTCTCTCTCTCTCTCTCTCTCTGCCTGTCTGTCTTTCTGCCTGTCTGTGTGTCATCATGCCAGTCTCCCATCCTCTCTTTCTTTTTGTCTCTCC